TTCTGCAAATCACCATGAGAAAAACTCGTGTGCAAGAAGATCCTAAGACTCTGGCAGAATCTAGGACAATCCTCAGGAAAATCCAGAGGAGAATCTACTAGTGGCTGCTGACTCACTGGATCTCCTGCTATTGATAGATTATTCCAATAGCATAGTTCCAGGTCCTGAAGCCATCCTTGGAGATGATTGATCAGATTTATTTGTTTATGGAAGTATTAAGGTTTGAAGTCCAAGCTGTGTAAGCAAGCATTCTACCACTTGAGACATGCCCATAACTAGATCTATCAGCTTTAATGAATCTTATGAAAGTAGTATGTAGCCATAGATAAAACATAAACAGAGCTGTCCATGTTCCAGTAGGATTTTATTTACAAAAACAGGTAGGGGTCAGATTTGGTCTGAAGGCAATGATTTTTCTGATGCTTGATTTAAACCAGAGGTTTCAATATATAGGCTGAATACTTAGGTGATGTTTCATTTTTTAAATGCAGGAATATTTAATGATGTAGTTGTGTGGCCAAGTCACTGTACTTTATAAAATTTCACAGGGAGATGGCTGTGCAGTATTGATTCAGATGACTGTACTCCTCATTGTTAAGCAGAACTAATACTGACTGAGTACTTTTTATGCACCTGCTGTGGGGCTCAGAGCTTTTTATATATGTTCTCTTTTAGTCCTCACAGTCCTATGAACTGGGCATCATTAGTATGCACATCATATGGATTAAGAAACTCAATTTTGAGCCGGGCGCTGGTGGCTCATGCCTGTAATCCTAGCTACTCAGGAGGCTGAGATCTGAGGATCACGGTTCAAAGCCAGCCAAGGCAGCAAACTCCGTGAAACTTTTTTTTTTTTTTTGGTCGTGGGGCTTGAACTCTGGGCCTGGACGCTGTCCCTCAGCTCTTCAGTTCAAAGCAAGTGCTCTACCACTTGAGCTAAAGCGCCACTTCCGGTTTTCTGGTGGTTTATTGGAGATAGGAGTCTCACAGTCTCTCTTGCCCGGGCTGGCTTTGAACTGCGATCCTCAGATCTCAGCCTCCTGAGTAGCTAGGATTACAGGC